CACAGAGGCTAAACAGAGGATTTTTGGCTCACCATAAAAATTGTAATTATACCAATTATATTTGTAGTTACCATATTCCAGATTTGAATGCATCAGGTTACATCCAATATGAACTGACCTATTCAAATCCAGGCTTATGGCATTTTATAAAAAAAAAGGAAGAAGAAAGAAAGCAGCTGAAATTGCAAATGAGCTATGGGAACTATACAATTATATGCGTTATTTATAGTTCCTAAATCTTGTGCGTGTTAGCAGGACTACATTTTTGGCAATGATGGCTAATGACTACTCTTCCTTAAAAACAACTATTAATCCTATAGTAAACCCAAACTGTTTTAAAACTCATTTTGTATTTACAGGGACCTACATAAGTAGGTCACACTGAGCAAACTAGCCCCTTTAGTATTCTACCCCTCACAGTGATTCTACAGATGATTATTTCTACTGTAAAACGTCCCAAATGATGAACATAAAAGAAGTATTTAGAAAGCAGAGGTGCTGAGATGCATGTTAAAACGTAAAAGCTCAACATTATCTTCAAATAGAAAACCTGATATAACAGATTCATAAGAGCTGCTGATTAAATGTCTAAATTAATGAGGCCTTTCACCAAAGTGATTCAGATGCAACAATTGACCACAAAGCAAAGTAGTAGTGATGCAAGAATCGAATACGGAGAGAAAAAACAACATGAAGTATGCATGAAGCTTCATCTCTCTAGAGATTTTAAATTGAAACTTTTATGGATTGTCCTATCAAGTGAGTTCATGCACACACATAAACACATCTGTGCATATTTTAAATTTAAAGGGGTTGTTCACCCAAAAATGAAAATTATGGGTGAATTATAATTTACTCGTCCAAACACAAGACTTTTGTTTTGTAAAATTGAAAGTCAATTGAAAGTCCATGCAACCAAAACTTTGACATGTCAAAAGTACAAAAATAGATTGTAAAAATAATCTTTATTAATCAAGCATTTTAACCCAAGTCTTCAAAATAATAATAATAATAATAATAATAATAATAATAAATGTAAAAAAAATTGTGTCTCTTCTACTTTTTGATGCGCTAAAGATAAGCGTTTCAAAGAGGAATGATTAAAAGTTTGGAACAACGTGAGAGTGAGTAAATGAGGTCAGAAGTAATTTTTTTGGGTGAACTACCCCTTTAAAGAGTCTCTGTGTATAAGTCCCACATATTGGACACCGTGTGTATGATAACAAAAGTGGCATACACCGTGGCAGGAGTGAATAAACCTCTTACCACACTTTGAACGCTTTCCTGTCAAAGGAACATGACATATTACTGTAACATGTCCGATCAAATAAAATATTCAGCCTATATGCGCTGATTTCACCCAGCCGCCATTTTGAAATCGAAAGCGAGGCTCCGGTGGGAAGAACCCAGGAAGTACAGACAGAGAACAATGCCTTGGACTACCAACCTGAAGCTGCTGCCGTGATTTACACTATTGGATGTTAATATCCAATATAGGATATGTATATAGTTTGTTCCTGCTTCTTTTTTTTATGATCTGAATTATATATTATATATATATATGATTCCTTTTGATTATATATGATTCTCCTATGATTAAAGGCAACAACTTCCGGTTTTCTTCCCACCGGAGCCATTTCAAAAAGGCGGCTGCATGAAATCAGCGTGATGACATTCGCAATGCACCCCACTGATTTTACAGTAAAGACACAAACTCAGTGATTCGACCTTCTTGCACAGATATTTATTGCGTGGCCACATCTGTTGAGAGTGAAGCATGCTGGTGATCAGTGCTGTGCAGGTCTGCACACGGTCAGTAAGGACAGCACACTCAAGCTCACGTGCCCATTCACTCAACAGCCACCATGACCATGAGCCATGGGAGAGCAGGGGGTGAAGGGCAAAGCCAGGGGGAAGGGATGGATGTGATTGACAGGGTGAGAGGATGGAACGATGGCTACGCTGGCGATGGGTCGTGATCCTGATAACAGCTCTTCTTTAAGACAGTCCAAATGCACAATACAATTTCGTAAATTCTGTTTCCCACATCTTTTATAGAATAAGGCATTAAGATAGAGGGGGTTTGTTTGAAATGGCATACTACAAAAATGATACTATTTTTGCAGTATGCAGAATGTAGGCTATATTGTCCATAATCATTTTCTTTATGAAACATGGAATACATAGATGACTTGTTACATTTACATTTGCTAAGGTCTGCAGTTTACAACCAGAGCACAGTTACAGGCATTGTACCAACCTCACTATACAAAATGTCCAAATTGACCTTCCATTTCAAAGGTAATGAATGAAACAGTATACTACACAGTGTCTCCAAGCAAGCACCTTTGCGTTTAGAAAGACGTTTAATAGCCTAACACAGCCCTGACAGCTAGGCTAAAACAAGGCAAAATTTGTCAGTGAAAATATTAAAGACGTCGAAACCATAGCCCAAGAATAGACGCACAGGCTTCACATAGACCATGTCAAAGAAATGAAACCAAACACCTTGTATTCACTGTTGACTTTGCTTACATTATGGAATATCATCTATATCGAAAGTTATTTAGGCAAAACCAACATATAACCAAATTGAATGTTATTAATGCTAGAATTGGGTTACTCATAGCCCTACTACATCGGGTCTATAGTTAGTCGAGATGGTGTTATTGCTTGCTGGGGTGCCTAATATTTTTAAAAGATATGTGAAACCAAAAGCATCCAATTTTTTAAATAAAATAAAAACAAAAATGTTGAAAAATGTAGTTAATATTGCTTACAGTTAAATGATATATATATATATATATATATATATATATATATATATATATGAATTCCAATACACTGGAAATGGAAGTTGAACATTGCATTGTGGGATACAGTACCCGATGCAGTGTGAACACTTTGGCATATGTCATCCAAGTCATCCAGGTATTTAATGAACATGGAAAAATGTACATATTGTGCACAGTAGACATACGATAATGCAGAATTGATATACCAAACTCTCTTTTCTGTATTACTACTTTTATTGCTTTTGGACAGAATGGATTTGGAGCTGTCCAGCAGAGGGAGCTGTAACAGGCTCTTCACCATGTGCACATTTTGACAGTATGAGAAGACAGGCGAAGGATTTCTCTGTTCTCTTATTTCATCATCTCCAGCAGGAACCACAGTCTAGCCCATCACATTTCTGCTCGTAAAACCAACAGTTTGAAGCCACATTTTAACATTTAACTGGGACACAGGTTTGATTTGAATATCTCCAAAACATTTCCTGGATATGGATATAAACCCTGGATAATACACGCGAGTGTGCTCTAGCATGCTCTGTGAGTGTGTGTGACTGCTAAGGAGAGTGTGTGCATGTGTGCCAGTGCCTTGCAATGCGGTTCTGTGCAATGTTCTTTGATAAGGTCAAACGTGTATTTCCAGCACCTTTGAATAAGACATCACATCCGACATACATGGAACAGTGGATATATTGTTTCTAACCCTTTCGAGAAGTTTATTTTCATATTGATGGCCTGCAAATGTCTTTGAAACAACCTCTAACAATAACTTGAAACACTGGAAAGACTCGTTTGACCTTGATGGGTGTGTGCAGCGTTCAGTGCTCTGCGTGGGTGGGCTAGGTGCCATGCATGTTCAGGATGCTGTGTAAGAAAGCAGGAAGAGAAAGAGAGAGAGAGAGAAAGAGAAAGGGAGGTGTCAGTGGAGTGATTGGCCACTCACCAGACAGCTGCTGGACACCAGGCTGGTCATGTGTAGTTAACAACTGAGCCTGAATCGTCTCAACCACCCGTTTGAAGCGTCGACTGGGACCTGCAGGGGACACGCAAACACAGACAACACGCTTTTGAATGTTTCGCAATCATCCTGTAGAGACTGGTACATGTGTGTCTTTTGAAATGAATGTCATTTTATGCTGATACATCCTGGGTTGATTCCCTCTAGCGTCTGCCTCATAAAGTCTATGGGATGGGGCTGGTTTTTATGTTGCATTTGGCCTAAAGCTGAGTTTATGACGTGCACATGCAAAATGCATGTGACTTTAAGAACAAGATTCAATCCCTTTTGTGTAGCCAAGAGAGCAAAAACGAGGAAGGGGGGAAATGAAAAGAGAGGGACAGGGTTTGCAGTAATGGCACCAGCAGCATGGGATCTTTTTGGATTGTCCTTTGAAACACAGCAGGTTGAAAATGCATAGTGATTACCAGGAGGCAAAAAGTCCTCTTTTAGTTAAATTTTTTCCATTACCCCCTCGAGCAGTTGGTCTATTTTCAGCTTAAGAGAGGGGGAGTGTAATGGAGGAAGGGAACCGCTAGCGGAACGAGAGAGGGAAAAAAAAATCTTTCACCACTGCGACAGACAAAGTTCAACATCATCAACCAGCCTCTCCATCACCCACACACACACACATCGCTCTGTGTTTCTATTGGCTGCCAGCAAGTGTATGACATCAAAATGGGCTTCTCTCCGTCGGCATGGTTACCTGAGAGCAGTGTGAAAGTGACAGAGTAGATGCCGTTCTCCTTGGTGGCAGCCGTGCTTTCGGTGTAGGTGATGTCCACCTGGAACTTCACTGGTTTTTGGAACACGGTGGGGCCGGCCGTGGACTTGTATTCTGCCCGGAAACTCGTCTGAGACACCACACTGTGGCTGAGGCTGGGAATCTGAAATAAATAGACAGAATCATTAACCCCGAAATGAGCATTCTGTGACTTTTTACTGATGTCTTTTGAAACCAATGACTTTCTTTCTTCAGAATGGATTTTTTTAAGAATATCCTGGACATTATTTTCAAAATAATGGCAATGAAGGAGGTCAGGGGCTATCAAGTTCCAAAATGGCAAAAAAAAAAAAAATGCCTCAAAATGCAGATATTCACTGAGTCATGGCCCTCTATCAGAATCCAGAGTTTTGGGAAGATTGGAGAAACTTAATTTTTCGCCCAAAAAAAAAAAACGTAAGGGGTACCACTGTCGTTTTTTTTTTCGGGCCGAATTTTTGAGTTTCGATATCTCAGCTCTGGAAGGGGCTAGAGCCTCCATTTTTGCACTCAGGTCTAAGTCTCATGGCCCTCTATCAGAATCCAGAGTTTTGGGAAGATTGGAGAAACTTAATTTTTCGCCCAAAAAAAAAAAACGTAAGGGGTACCACTGTCGTTTTTTTTTTCGGGCCGAATTTTTGAGTTTCGATATCTCAGCTCTGGAAGGGGCTAGAGCCTCCATTTTTGCACTCAGGTCTAAGTCTCATGGCCCTCTATCAGAATCCAGAGTTTTGGGAAGATTGGAGAAACTTAATTTTTCGCCCAAAAAAAAAAAACGTAAGGGGTACCACTGTCGTTTTTTTTTCGGGCCGAATTTTTGAGTTTCGATATCTCAGCTCTGGAAGGGGCTAGAGCCTCCATTTTTGCACTCAGGTCTAAGTCTCATGGCCCTCTATCAGAATCCAGAGTTTTGGGAAGATTGGAGAAACTTAATTTTTCGCCCAAAAAAAAAAACGTAAGGGGTACCACTGTCGTTTTTTTTTTCGGGCCGAATTTTTGAGTTTCGATATCTCAGCTCTGGAAGGGGCTAGAGCCTCCATTTTTGCACTCAGGTCTAAGTCTCATGGCCCTCTATCAGAATCCAGAGTTTTGGGAAGATTGGAGAAACTTAATTTTTCGCCCAAAAAAAAAAACGTAAGGGGTACCACTGTCGTTTTTTTTTCGGGCCGAATTTTTGAGTTTCGATATCTCAGCTCTGGAAGGGGCTAGAGCCTCCATTTTTGCACTCAGGTCTAAGTCTCATGGCCCTCTATCAGAATCCAGAGTTTTGGGAAGATTGGAGAAACTTAATTTTTCGCCCAAAAAAAAAAAAACGTAAGGGGTACCACTGTCGTTTTTTTTTCGGGCCGAATTTTTGAGTTTCGATATCTCAGCTCTGGAAGGGGCTAGAGCCTCCATTTTTGCACTCAGGTCTAAGTCTCATGGCCCTCTATCAGAATCCAGAGTTTTGGGAAGATTGGAGAAACTTAATTTTTCGCCCAAAAAAAAAAACGTAAGGGGTACCACTGTCGTTTTTTTTTTCGGGCCGAATTTTTGAGTTTCGATATCTCAGCTCTGGAAGGGGCTAGAGCCTCCATTTTTGCACTCAGGTCTAAGTCTCATGGCCCTCTATCAGAATCCAGAGTTTTGGGAAGATTGGAGAAACTTAATTTTTCGCCCAAAAAAAAAAAACGTAAGGGGTACCACTGTCGTTTTTTTTTCGGGCCGAATTTTTGAGTTTCGATATCTCAGCTCTGGAAGGGGCTAGAGCCTCCATTTTTGCACTCAGGTCTAAGTCTCATGGCCCTCTATCAGAATCCAGAGTTTTGGGAAGATTGGAGAAACTTAATTTTTCGCCCAAAAAAAAAAAACGTAAGGGGTACCACTGTCGTTTTTTTTTCGGGCCGAATTTTTGAGTTTCGATATCTCAGCTCTGGAAGGGGCTAGAGCCTCCATTTTTGCACTCAGGTCTAAGTCTCATGGCCCTCTATCAGAATCCAGAGTTTTGGGAAGATTGGAGAAACTTAATTTTTCGCCCAAAAAAAAAAACGTAAGGGGTACCACTGTCGTTTTTTTTTCGGGCCGAATTTTTGAGTTTCGATATCTCAGCTCTGGAAGGGGCTAGAGCCTCCATTTTTGCACTCAGGTCTAAGTCTCATGGCCCTCTATCAGAATCCAGAGTTTTGGGAAGATTGGAGAAACTTAATTTTTCGCCCAAAAAAAAAACGTAAGGGGTACCACTGTCGTTTTTTTTTTCGGGCCGAATTTTTGAGTTTCGATATCTCAGCTCTGGAAGGGGCTAGAGCCTCCATTTTTGCACTCAGGTCTAAGTCTCATGGCCCTCTATCAGAATCCAGAGTTTTGGGAAGATTGGAGAAACTTAATTTTTCGCCCAAAAAAAAAAAACGTAAGGGGTACCACTGTCGTTTTTTTTTCGGGCCGAATTTTTGAGTTTCGATATCTCAGCTCTGGAAGGGGCTAGAGCCTCCATTTTTGCACTCAGGTCTAAGTCTCATGGCCCTCTATCAGAATCCAGAGTTTTGGGAAGATTGGAGAAACTTAATTTTTCGCCCAAAAAAAAAAAACGTAAGGGGTACCACTGTCGTTTTTTTTTTCGGGCCGAATTTTTGAGTTTCGATATCTCAGCTCTGGAAGGGGCTAGAGCCTCCATTTTTGCACTCAGGTCTAAGTCTCATGGCCCTCTATCAGAATCCAGAGTTTTGGGAAGATTGGAGAAACTTAATTTTTCGCCCAAAAAAAAAAAACGTAAGGGGTACCACTGTCGTTTTTTTTTCGGGCCGAATTTTTGAGTTTCGATATCTCAGCTCTGGAAGGGGCTAGAGCCTCCATTTTTGCACTCAGGTCTAAGTCTCATGGCCCTCTATCAGAATCCAGAGTTTTGGGAAGATTGGAGAAACTTAATTTTTCGCCCAAAAAAAAAAAACGTAAGGGGTACCACTGTCGTTTTTTTTTCGGGCCGAATTTTTGAGTTTCGATATCTCAGCTCTGGAAGGGGCTAGAGCCTCCATTTTTGCACTCAGGTCTAAGTCTCATGGCCCTCTATCAGAATCCAGAGTTTTGGGAAGATTGGAGAAACTTAATTTTTCGCCCAAAAAAAAAAACGTAAGGGGTACCACTGTCGTTTTTTTTTCGGGCCGAATTTTTGAGTTTCGATATCTCAGCTCTGGAAGGGGCTAGAGCCTCCATTTTTGCACTCAGGTCTAAGTCTCATGGCCCTCTATCAGAATCCAGAGTTTTGGGAAGATTGGAGAAACTTAATTTTTCGCCCAAAAAAAAAAAACGTAAGGGGTACCACTGTCGTTTTTTTTTTCGGGCCGAATTTTTGAGTTTCGATATCTCAGCTCTGGAAGGGGCTAGAGCCTCCATTTTTGCACTCAGGTCTAAGTCTCATGGCCCTCTATCAGAATCCAGAGTTTTGGGAAGATTGGAGAAACTTAATTTTTCGCCCAAAAAAAAAAAACGTAAGGGGTACCACTGTCGTTTTTTTTTTCGGGCCGAATTTTTGAGTTTCGATATCTCAGCTCTGGAAGGGGCTAGAGCCTCC